TTGCTTGTCCATAAAGTGGTTATAAAGGATTTTTTTCCTTCTGTCTGCGTCCCATTAGGGAGATTTTTATTTTCTTCCTGGGTCAAATACACAATAAAGGAGAGGAAATCTTTGCAGAATATGGGAAATCCTCTCATCGGATCAACCACCCCAGGTGATTATTTCCTTTTAACACAACATTTTGGATTTTCCCTTCAGTTTGTCTCCTGGGCCTTGATCTTCATAGGTTTTTGAGGGGGAGATTTGGTAGTGTTACTTCTGTGCTACTCACTTTTCTCCTTGCTGGAGAGGAAGCTGTATCTGAGGACCTGCAGTGCAAGGATCTTCTTGCTTCTTTTTCTTCACCCTTTTTGTGAATCGGTGTGTCAGGAGTCAGCAGCAGAGATTACCAGATTTGCACAGCTACATAAGGGAAACTGAGACCAGACTATCCTATAAGAAAGTAAATTTATTGATGGCAAAACAAAGACATCCACACCCCAGCAACAGGAAAACATAAAAATACAAGTGAACCCCAACCAAAATGTCTTATGTAACAGGAAGCCTACCAACTAAGTATATACTATATGTACAATATATACACAGTATAAGCAGCACAGTCACAGGTAATACTGGAGATGCAAGGAAGGGGGGAAACAGAACTAAATACAGGAAAAAGGGGAGCAGGTGTAAAGCAGTAGGGCGCAGGGTACAGGATGCAGAGCTAGAGCGAGATCAGGATCAGAAACAGAAGCAGGATACATGGCAACAGCACCAGATTGGCACAAAAGATCGAAACACTGAAGCAAGGACTATCAGCCGAAGAGAACCTATATACCCGCCCAGCAGCCAGTATCAGGTGAAGATTACTAGAAACTGCTGGGAGACACCCTTTGGTGTCACTGGGCTTACCCTACTACTTTTCCTGGTGTATCTTGAGTATTCCCACAGTCATCAGCTCACCAGTCATCTGATGGGGCAGCTTTGAAAAAAGAAAGCTGAGGTCTTTATCAAGATGGCCGCCTCCACAAGAGTCATAGTGCAGAACATGACGTGGTAAGTCAGTCATGGGAAAGGGAGCAGAAGGGAGCCTATAGACAACATCAGTACCTAGTCCCTTGCCGCCTGCTTGCCTTTTTTAGACACACGTACTGGTAGATTCTTGTGTACCTTCGTCAAGTCATTTGCATTATTTGCAGCTATTGTAATATGTTTTGCAATTTTTTTTTTTAATTTTAATGTACCGTACCTTGCATACACCGTAGTGTATCAGCACAAAAGGACCTATATACTCGCCCAGCAGCCAGCATCAGGTGAAGAAGATTACTAGAGGCTGCTGGGAGACACCCATTGGTGGACACTGGAACTACAGCTTTCCGCCCAGCAGGTGATACAGGTCCTGACACTGGGCTTACTCTACTTTTCCTGGTGTATCTTGAGTATTCCCACAGTCATCAGCTCACCAGACATCTGATGGGGCAGCTTTGAAAAGTCAAGTCATTTCCATTATTTGCAGCTATTGTAATATGTTTTGCAAATTTTTTTTTTTTAGGGAATTGTGCAATGTCACTGTTGACCCTCAAAGCACAGTAACCAATAGCAACTCTGGTATGGTTTGCTGAAGAGAGATAAGAGAAGGATGGTCCCTCTTTAGTTGCTCTTTGCCCCATCGGGAATTGTTCACCTTCCTTGCCACTCATTTGGCATTGCATACAGCTCGTTAATGGCGCGCAAGGCTGGTTTAGCTGCTAATGATCCCAGTGTACAGCTTGTCCCTGCTGGTAACGCAGTGTGTACAGTCAAACATCCGCCTCCCCCCCGTGGGAGAAAGTGTAAAACACACTTGCCATCTCCCAGAAGGCTCTTTAATACATTCATAATAATTAGTCCACTAATGTGTCATTAAATCTCATTCGTTCTGATTGTCATCTGCAGCTCGCGGGATGTGCAGTTTTTTTTTTTTTTTTTTAAACTCACGCCGTCTTAGTAATGAGACCAGTGAGATCTCATCTTTTCATTTTATTTTTTTATACTTTTAATTTAAAGGCAAGTGTTGTGACAAGTTTATCTATCCACGCAGAATTATTTTTAGAGTATTTTCTCAGTTTCGAGATTTTTTTTTCTCAAATTGAAATGAAGCTCTTTTTATTGTATAATCGCTGCCCTTTCATGTTGATTCACACCTGCGCAGACTTGGCGGGGGAAGAGGGGATTCTGTTGATGGATGGAGCAAAGTTTGAGGATTACTCAGTTGGCATTAGAGGCGGCAGAACAAAATAGAATTTCAAATATACTGTTTGCTTTTGGATTTGGAAAGGTCAGAAGTAGAAATTTTGGTGTGCTTTTTTTGCACAGGGCGAGGGGAGTATACAGAACACGATGTTAGGTTAGTGTTTGTTAATGCTTGGGTTAGGTTAGTGCTGCAATCGGGGAATTGGAGGTTTAGTTTTATTTTAAGGGTTCAACTGGACCTGAACTCAAAAAGTGAAGGTTTGCTATCTAGGGCAAGGGTGTTGAACTCCATTTCATCACGGGTCACATCCGTGTTATGGTTGCCCTCAGAGGGCCGGTTGTATCTGTAAGCACCCCATTATTTATTTATTTCAGGTACTTATATAGCGCCGTCAATTTATGCAGCACTTTACATATATATTGTACATTCACATCAGTCCCTAACCCTCAAGGGGTACATAGGTCCCTAACCCTCAAGGGGGTCAATCTAAGGTCCCTAACTCACATTCATATATACACATACTAGGGACAATTTAGACAGGATCCAATTAACCTACCAGCATGTCTTTGGAGTGTGGAGGAAACCAGATTACCCGGAGGAAACCCACGCAGGCACAGGAAGAACATGCAAACTCCAGGCAGGTGGTGCCGTGGTCGGGATTCAAACCAACGACCCTAGTATTGCCAGGCGGAGGTGCTAACCACTAAGCCACTGTGCCGCCCGTCTCCTAACATTAGTTGTCAAGTGCCCCCCCCCCCCCCCCATCAGAAGCACAGTGTGCCCCCTTTACTTTGTGCTGCTGCTGGGAAGAAGCGGAGGACAGAGCTGGGAAGCAGAAAGTGCAGGGTCTGGAAGAGGACCAGAGGAGGGCTGGAGTCAGCTTCTGGAGTCTGCTGAATGCTGAGATCAGGGGAGGCGGAAGTGAGGAGGTGCTGTTGATGCACAGAGAGGTGCAGGATCTGTAGGAGGAGTTCTGTTTTCCTTTCTGCTGCTAACAGAAGTTGGATGGGGGGGAGATGAGGGTGGTACCGCAGCTGCAGGAGAGGTGTGAGGGCCACAGGAAATGGCCTGGCGGGGCGGATTTGGCCTATGGACCTTGTGCTTGACACGTGTTCTAGGGAATATCTAGATAAGTTTTCAGTGACCTGAAAAATGTTTTTGTCTTGAATTCCTCCTGAAAAAATAGCACTGTACTTCCTGTGCCCTGAGCCTCATAGCTATATATCTGCAGTATGAGATCATTCAAGGCACTGCTGCCTCCGACTGCTGGTCTCAGGAGATTTGTCGTAAAATTTGTGATGTCACTGCTGTGTTGCTCACTGTACTCATTCCTAGTGATGGAGTTGTATGTGAAGAGCTCCCTGCTTCTGCTTTATTCATTTTGTGGATCTGTGCTTTCTTAAAACGGAGCTCCACCCAAAAGGGGGAAGTTCCGCTTTAAGGACTGCTCCCCCGCTCTCCATTAAGGATTGGCACCTTGGGGGGGGGGGGGGGGGGGCGGGTACCCGAATTTGACAGGTACTCGGAAACGGAAGGTGTGTCCCCTCACTGTAGTCTATTGGGACACATGACAGGTCCCAGAAGATTACAGGACCATTCATGAAGCGCAGCGCTACTCGCACATGTGCAGTGGGTACCCGGCTGTGAAGCCGCAACCTGCACAGCCGGGTGCCCACACTGAAGATGCCGGCCTCCTGGTATACAGGACGGCCGGTGAAACGGGCTACGGGGGACACACCACGGGACCGAGGGACAGGTAAGTGGCTGTATTTTAAAGGTTAGCAGCTACAGTTTTTGTAGCTGCTGACTTATTTTTTGACAGGTGAGTGGAACTCCGCTTTAACCACTCCTTCTGCTTGCATATTCCATCAACAGTCTTTAAATCGCCAGCCAGCCATTGGGGGGGGGGGGGCAGCTCTGTTATACGGAAGCAATGCTTCTTACAAGATGCCCGTCTCAACATAGAGACCCTACTATAAGTCTGACATTTTGTTCTCTTTAGAAAGCAGCCACAGCCTGAGTAGAAAGAACTGTCCCCTGCCAGAATGTTATAGAAGATAATACTTGCTCCTGCTGTGGAAGCAGTAGTCACTCTGCAGAGTTCTGACATGCCCCCTGCTGAGTTATAGCCAAAGCTCTTCTATCAGCAGGGACATGAGCTTTGCTAATTGTAGAGTTCTAGGATTTACTCCGCAGGGGGCATATCAGACCTCTGCAGAGAATCTACTGCTTCCAAACAGAGAGTAAAGGCCCTTCTCTGCAACATGTTGGCAGGAGACAGGCTTTTTGAATCAGGCTGTGGCTGCTTTTAAAGAAAACAAAGGTTAGGTTGGCACTAGCCCATGCTCTGTAAAGCGATCTTTGGTGGGTCGCATTTTATAGTGTGACTAAGCAGTAGCAGCTGGCGGTCCTGCCGCTTCCTGAATACTTTTTTTTTTTTTTTTTTTTTTTTATTTTTACGGTCGGCCATTTATAATAGGGCTTAAGTGCCACAACAGTGAGCGCCACTGATCTGAATAGTCGAGTTTGACTGTTTTTACCGCTCCTCCCCCTGCCCGTGTGAAAGACGCCCAAGTGCCCGTTCACATATATGCGGATTGGATGTGGTTTGAACTGTGTCCAGTCCGCATGACGTGAAATAACATTGCTTCCTATGGTGCCTGTTCACATAGGCTGTGCTGTATTTAGGTGTTGTGCTGCCCTAGGCAACACAAAAATTGGATGCCCCTCCTCCCCGGCGTAGAGAGCCTGACCAACACCAGACTCAATTCCACCCCTCCCCACGGAGAGAGCCTGACAGTGACCATCACCCCCCCCCCCCCACACCCGAGAGAGCCTTTCACTAACACCCACCTGCCTGGCGACAGAGAGAAAGGCACTCACCCAGCGGTGGACTGACAACTCATGGGGCCCCTGGGCAATAGGGGATCATGGGGCCCCTGTGTGCAAGCCCACACTCAAATCACACCCAAAAAAGCCTATGAAAGGTACCAGGGGCATCTCATGGGGCCCCCTAGTGACCCTGAGCCCTCGGGCCGTGCCCGAGTTTCCAAATGGTCAGTCCACCCCTGGCCTACACCTATAGTAAGGGTAATACAGTTGCAAGAAAAAGTATGTGAACCCCTTGGGATTACGTGGAGTTTTGCATGAATTGGGCATAAAATGTGCTCTGAACGTCATCTAAGTCACAACAATAGAAGAACACAGTCTGCTGAACATAATACTACACAAACATTGCAACTCGAGCACCCGAATGGTCAGTCCGCCCCTGCACTCACCATTACAGCTCTGGACATCCCCGGGTACGACAGTCAGGCTCTGCATACACCATCAAGCAGCCGCAGCCTCTTTCAGATCCCATCTGGTCCCCGTGCCGCATATGTCCCTTCTTCCAGGGGGCAGTGCTGCTGCCCTAGGCAAATGCCTTGTTTGCCTTGTGTTAAATACGCCCCTGCACATATGTCCGGTGCACAGGCGGTTCGGATCTAGTGCGTTTTTTTTTTTTTTTTTTTAAAGGGTCATGTCCGATTTCTGAGCAGTGCGGTCTGCTTCAGGTGTGGATTACAGGCTATTGACTTCTATGGGAACCATTTCTAAACCACATATATGTGAACAAGAGAAGATCCTGAGCTAATGCTGTCCTGATGTAAGCCTGTTGTGAACCGGTGAACAACTACTGTGTCAATTAGCTGTGAAACCTGAGCTTCAATCCGCACCGCACGTGTGTGAATCAGCTCTGAGACTTTGAACACCTTTTGCTATTTTAAACTGAAAGTTCAATTGGGCTTTAAATCTGTTTTTGAGTCAATTGTTCTCCTACGAAAAATCCAGTAAATTGTTAGAGAGCAATCTGTGCAGCTGACTGATATCAAAACCTGTCTGTGGAAATGGATCGTTTTAGAAGTTTGTTGTGTAATGGATCATTTCTTTTGTCTAGTCCCACTTTAAAGTAGAACTCCAGCCATTTATTTGTGAGGAAGGTAGTTTGTGGTAATTGGTTTCTTCCAAAGGGATACAGTAGTAATAACCTGGTATACACTCCGAATCTTATCCTGGGGAGGATGGTCAGCTTCATCATCTGCACTACTGATCCCTCTTTTGGGCTGCGTTTATTGACCGGTGTGTTGCGGTCAGAACGCCAGTAAGGGGCTTATTCATTCGGGTGCCTTGGTGATGGTGGATCGTGCCGAACTCCTCTTTGTGCAATTTATCCAAACCTTGTTTGATTATTTAGACTTTCTGATTATTTATCCCCACTCCAGTCGATCCTAAACTCAGCGGCGAGACTCATCCACCTCACCAACCGCTCCACATCCGCCACCCCCCTCTGCCAATCCCTTCATTGGCTCCCGATTGCCCAACGCATCAAATTCAAACTGCTAACTCTGACCTACAAAGCCATTCACAATGCCGCCCCGAACTACATAACTGACCTGATACCCAAATACTACCCTACCCGTGCCCTCCGCTCCTCACAGGACCTCCTACTCTCTAGCTCCCTGGTCTCCTCCTCCCACGCCCAATTGCAGGACTTCTCCAGGACTTCCCCCATCCTCTGGAACGCCCTACCCCAATCCATCAGACTGTCACCTACCCTCCTCACCTTCAGGCGCACCCTGAAAACCCTCCTCTTCAGGGAAGCATAACCCCAACCTCACCTAACACCCGACCTCACCTAACAACTAACCTCCTCCACTCCTCCCACCACTCCATCCCCCACAGCCATCTCCACCTGTGCCACCTTCCCCTCCCTCCTAGATTGTAAGCTCGAAAGAGCAGGGCCCTCGAACCCCTCGTGTATTGTATTGTTACTGTCTTGTCTCATGTTCTGTCCCCCTTGCTACTGTACAGCGCTGAGCATACCCTTTGGCGCTATATAAATACTGTATAATAATAATAACTTTTTTGGACTTTTAAAGCGGAGTTTCACTCACCCTGAAAAAAAAAAAAAAACTGTAGCTGCTGACTTTTAAAAAAAACAGCCACTTACCTGTCTCTCAGTCCCGTGGTGTGTTCCCCGCAGCCCGTTTTGACCGGCTGTCCTGTATTCCAGGAGGCCAGCATCTTCAGTGTGGGCACCCGGCTGTGATAGCTTGCGGCTTCATAGCCGAGTACCCACTGCGCATGCGCGAGTAGGGCTGCGCTTCATGAATGGTCCTGTAGTCTTCTGGGACCGGTCACGTGTCCTAAAAGACTACGGGGGGGGGGGGAGACACACCTTCCGTTTCTGATTGCCTAGGCCAGGGGTAGGTAACCTGCGGCTCTCTAGCTGTTGTGGAACTACATTTCCCATGAGGCATTGCAACATTACAAAACTGACAGTTACATCTATGACTTGCAGAGGCCAGCTGGAGAGCCACAGGTTGTCTACCCCTGGCCTAGGCGATCAGACCGGAAGTGGGAGCGGGTACCTGTCAAATTCGGGTACCACCCCCCAAAGGTGCCAATCCTTAATTGGAGCGGGGGAGCAGTCCTTAAAGCGGAACTTCCCCTTTTGGGTGGAGCTCCGCTGTAACGTCTTCTGTATGTGAGCTGCAGCTTGTACAAGAACAGTATGAACAGGAAGGTTTTACTGAGCATTTCTAATGCCCAACGGCTCTCCTCTTTCACCCATCTTTTGTGATATCACATGCTAGTGCCCAAGATGTACATGAGAGGAGCTGCACCATGCGGTTTGGTGCTTGCAAAAACACAGATGCGTGGGGGCAGGGTGCCATTAGCCACGCGTCTGCTAAATGGTAGCGTGTTTCTGCATGTGTCGGGAAAGTGTGTGATTTTGTGCATGTTCCTGACATCCAAAGAAAGCTGTTGGGATTTGCAGAATGCGGTCGAATTTTTGTAACAATTTGCTGCACATACTGCTCCTCCACAACTCACTTCTCTTATTCCATCTGTATAGAAAAAAAATGGCAACCAGCTCAACCTATAACTGGCCTTTAAAGCAAGGTGCACATGGAAGGGCAATGCACATTGCAAACAAACAACGTAAACGTTTGAATAGGGTCAATTTGGTTTGTTTTGCAGGCTGGTTGGTAAGTGTACTGGGAAATCGTTTGTTTGCAGCGTGCTTTGCCCTTCCATGTGCACCTTGCTTTAAGTGCTAGTGATAGGTTGGGGTGGGCACCAGTTTTTTTTTTTGCAGGTGGATGCCTTCTTTGCCATTGTGCTAATGCTGGGCGTCACTTGCATCCCCGAGCCTTTAAGGAGAGGTTGGCTCCCTCCAGGCACACCTGTCCTTAACCCATCCACTGTTCTATTTGCTCCTACTATGGAGGATCTGAAAATGAAAGAGTTAGGACCACATTATATACAGTCATAAGAAATAGGGCTTACGCATATATTTGCAAAAGTGTGACAGCTAAACCCTCTGTTTTTAACGTGAACTGTTAGACAAGGCCAGTCTAGTTGTTTTGCAGGCTGGCTGGTAAGTGTGCTGGGAAATCTTTTCTTTGTTCCCTCATTCCATGTTTAATATGGTTTGGCTACAACATTGACCTTCTTTGGCCCCTCTTGCTGTGTATATGTGACCTGTCATGCTAAAAGGCGTATATTATTATTATACAGGATTTACGGCGCCAACAGTTTGCTCAGCGCTTTACAATATAAAGGGAGACAACACAGCAACAATACAGTTCAATACAAGAGGGTTAGGAGGGCCTGATCCTGGGAGCTTACAATCTAGGAGATCCAGTTCTCTAAAGAAAACTTAAAGCGGAGTTCCACCCAAACGGGGAAGTTCTGGTTTAATGCTTTGTACCCCACTCTCCATTAAGAATTGGCACCTTTTGGGGAGAGGGTACCCGAATTTGACAGGTACCAGCTTCCACTTCCGCTGTGCAATCGCCTAGGCAATTGGAAGTGGAATGTTGTCCTCCCTCCCCATAGTCTTGTGGGACACGTGACAGGTCCCAGAAGACTACGGGGCTATTCACAAAGCGCAGCGCTTCTCGCACATGCGCAGTGGGCACCCGGCTGTGAAGCTGCAAGCTGTCACAGCCGGGTGCCCACACTAAAGATGCCGGCACCAGAGAGAGAAGACGGCCGGTGAAACCAGCGGTGGTGAGGACACCACTAGACAGGTAAGTGGCTGTATTTTAAAAGCCAGCAGCTACAGTTTGTGTAGCTGCTGACTTTTTTTTTTTTTTTTTTTTCAGCTGGAACTCCACTTTAAAATGCTTTATGGGGTCAATTTGTTTTTATTCAAAGCAAAATCATCCATCCACGTCTCCTTCCTGAAATCCATCTGCCCTTTGCTCAGGCATGTAGGCAGGAAGGGTGTGCTTAGCTGAGAGAACCCCTCCTTCCCTCTTTCAGTTGGAAGAAAAAAAAAAATGTTCATAAAGAATGTTGAATGTTAATTTAAAAAAAAAGTTTAAAACACATAAGTATAACATACCCTCCTATCTATTTTCTAAGGCTAGCAGCATAGATTGTAAGCTCACAGGATCAGGCCCTCAAATCCCTCTTGTATTGAACTGTATTGTTGCTGTATTGTCTCCCGTTATATTGTAAAGCGCTGAGCAAACTGTTGGCGCCATAAATCCTGTATAATAATAATATAATATAAATCCTGTATAATAATATAAATCCTGTATAATAATAATAATATAATATATAAATCCTGTATAATAATAATAATATATAAATCCTGTATAATAATAATATAATATATAAATCCTGTATAATAATAATATAATATAAATCCTGTATAATAATAATAATAATATATAAATCCTGTATAAATAATATATATAATCCTGTATATAATAATAATATAAATCCTGTATAATAATAATAATAATAATATATAAATCCTGTATAATAATAATATAAATCCTGTATAATAATAATATAAATCCTGTATTATAATAATAATAATAATATATAAATCCTGTATTATAATATAATATAAATCCTGTATTATAATAATAATAATAAGGATTAAGACTAGTTAATGTTGATTGAGAGTTTATTTCTGCATTAAAGGATGAGTACACTTTTAAATTATTTGGCAAATTATCAAATATACACTCTATTTTTTTTCTTCTCTTTGTTGTTGTTTGTTGTAAAGACAGTCACAGCTGGTGTGA